AACATTGGTTGTCAGAGGCGCATATCGGACGATCGTGTTAAGCCAGTGCAAAAGGTTTTCCTTGAAATGCTTTCCCGTAAAAAAAGCAAAGAGTTTTTGAATGTACGACCTGCCTTGGATGCGTAAGACATATCACACTTTTGGGAGTGATCTAGATAGCGTTACCGTTAATGTAAAATGGACGGTTACTAACCCAGTCAGTGGCTAAGATCCTCACTCTTCTAGCCAAAGAGTTAGGCGCGTACCACGCAAGGTAAGCGAGCCAATAAAAATCGCACTCAGTTCTGTAGACCCATTACTGATTTTATTAATCTATAGGCATAAGACGTCTTTTAAAGTACCCTAGAAGAGGGCTTAACGCAGCTGACGAAACTCGAAGGCACGGCAGTCATCATGGTGTAAAAAATAAAAAGTGAAAACAAAGGTTGTTGCCTTGATCCCGACGTTCGGTTACTATGGCTAACTACGAAAAATGGAAATGTAGCCGTCTCAAAAATCCGTGCACCAAAAAGAGTGTTCAAAATCGAAAGTCAGGGTGCCACCTACTAATGGACAGACAACGGAAAAGTGGCATGCCGTCCCCCAGGGAACTCCGCAGACGCTACTCAGTATCATCAAACGAACGTTGCAAACCGTGAATAATTAATTCGTTCCTTCTCCAGTGGACTTATATCGCGTCAATCAAACTAATTTGACAAAAGTACAGACGGGTTTCGACAAATGTAAAAGACATCATGAAAATTTCGCGTCATGTTTAAATATTTACTGAGATCGATGGAAAAATAGGGTTGAAAATGTACACAACCTGTGCAGGTCTTGCATAGACCTCAAAAGCTTGCATCCACCACGTGTGGAAAACGAATAGTCAAGGCGTAATTGCCATACGAGAGTCCCTGGCTCAGGGGACACTGATGGATGGGGCAGTGATGCGAAACATTGTGCATGGGACGGAGACAACTGCAGCTGGAAGAAACTTAAGTTGTCACAACAGAGAACAAAACAGGAATTGCCTTGGCCACTGTCAAGAAACCTACAACTGGATAGTCCCCTGTCAAATTGGCAGAAATATCGCCTGTAACAAATCCCGTTAAATTAGGATTTATCCATCCAAACTAAAATAGGTCCAGACCTTGACGCAGTTCTTGGCACCTCGGCATTCAATCTGCACCGATGGAAAGAAGGGGGGATTCGAACACAATGCACTTGTAGACGCGGATCAGCGCAAGGGTATAGGTATCACAAGGGGTACCACAAAGACTGGAAGGATAGGGCATGATGGCAGCCGCATCAAAGATGTGGCATGCTGAAATAGTTGTGCGATGCCGCCGTAAGCATCCAACGTAAAGTAAGGAAATAACCACTTTATAAATTCAAAACACAGAGGTGACATCCTCAGATAACGACTTGGGGGTACCGCCCGACTAGACAGGGGAACAGCAACTGCAACACAGCGTATGGTAAGAGACGGGTACATTAAACCTCAGCTCGCCGGGATGGTGATAGACAATGTCTTATGGAAGGGGGAACTTGATCTACGGAAAGGTTATTCAGGGTCACCTCGGAGCCTTGCCTGCCAGCTAGCTTCTGTCTCACATGTTCTTCCAACTCTCGAGCGGCCTGCACGGGATCCGTAACTGACAACTGCTTTTGCTGAGCTACAGGAAACACATCAAAAAGGGAACGGACCACATACCAATTTGATATTTCAATTTAGACTCCAATTCTGGCGTCAAGTGCGAATACCGGCAGCCCTGACCAAACTGACACACACCTAAAAGCCTCCCCGTAAGCATTTGAGCGATAGCCTACCGACTTTGGCAAAGCTGATACACAGCGGTTTGCCTTTCTCCATAAGCAACACGTCTTCAGGGTCTAAAGTATCAGTAAAGTGTGTGAAAGGCTCAAACAAACCTTGGAAACGCTGCAGGTATTCAGCCCGAAGCTGAACGTGACGAACCCCCTTCAGGTGATTTCGTCTATTCAAGAGATTATCCGGGAAACTAACGTTACAGTAGTCGCAGTAGTACCGCCGACCCATGTTTGCATGATCTAAAGGAGCGGATCGGCGATTAGGGAAACGCTCGTAAACTACACAAGTTCATAGGTCGCAAGAACGCGAGGCGTCAAATTAAACTCTATGCAGTAAAATACATATGGCAACCATGTACATGACTGGTTCACAAGGGCGGAGAAGTCTGGAGTGAAGCACACTTAAAGTGGGATGCTGAGGAAACGGTGAGTGGGGACGGGGGGGGGCAGAAAGGCAGGCGGGACCAAGCGAAACAAAAAGACGCGCGCAAATGTACACTCCAACGTAGATTTAAAGAATAGGAGGGGTAGGGCAGATGACGGCAATGTCAACTTTACAGTTATG